CCTCAATGCTCTAGAGCTATATGACATGAGCCATAAATACCCTGTCCAGAGCCACCAGTCTGTTCTGGGTAGAGAATAGCAGTAACCAAGAAATGCTTGAGCCTTAACCTTTGTTACCAGTGCTGGCCTCCCAGGCCTCTGGTGGTCTTTTCCCTGCAGACCCATGGAGACAATAGATCACCTCTGTGGTTCAACACTTCACCATTGCTTCCCCAAGGCAGCCCCTCTCTGGGTGACCCAGAGTGGTATGAACAAGGGCACAGAGAGGTGCTTGTGAAGGCAGGTTTCTCAGCAAGGCAAAACCTAGAGGCAAAACCTGTGTCTTCTTCCCCCTCATTTTTCAGTGACAGAACAAGACAGCCCTTCAGCAGTCCTCTCCATAGGACCTGAAGTCCATTTCTGCCCACCTCCTTCCAGCTAGGGACCCTGCAGCAGCCCAATGGGCATTTCCTGCTCTTTCCAGCTGTGTGGAGCAAGCCTGCTCACTGACAGCCCCAGAAACCCTTGTCCTGCTCTCTGCAGTGTATCTTCTTCTTGGACAGAAAACACTTGTCTGGAGAACTGCCACACTGTCTCCTTTTGGCAGCACTAAACCATCTTAAAAATAAAGTACTCACTGACAAACTTGTCTCCATCCCTTTGCAGTGAGGGGAGAGGGAAAAGAAAGACAAGTGCAAAGAATGCCCGAGTGCTTCAGGACGAAAATACACAGCTCAGGAATCAGAGCAATTCTAAGCATTACAGAACTAGCTCATCATTTGGATCCTATGATGATAGAGGATGTGCATGTACACTGCCTGAGTCAGGGAGATCTCATTTCTTTACAAGGCTGTTGCTCTCATTCTTTGCCATAAACCCATATAAATAACATATGGTACCAACAGCGTCACTGAAACCTGCTGAAGTTTTGAAATGCCTACAACTTAACTACTAAAACCAAGCCACCTGTCCAGCGACTTCTACTTGAGCTGTTCCAGTTCACCATCCCTGTATTACTATGTTGTTGGAACACCGTGAATCTATGTAGTCAGATAAAACATTCCTCTTGCCTTGAAGAAATACCGTCTAAAGACAGTGAGTGAACACAAGGCAAAACTCCTTAAGAGGTTGTTTATCTGACCCTCAGCAGTTCCTTGTTGAAGGACTGAGGGAAACATGTTCAGAGCAGCCTTTGCTTTGTGGTTAGCTGTGAGCACAGGGGAGGGATGGTGATGTAGATTTTATTGTGGTCGGAGAAACAGCTTGGGCCTGTCCTATGCAAGAGGAGTTCTGAGTGTTCTTCAATAGCCTGGATGCTTCTCCACGTAATGACATGACCAATAGCTGCTTAATTGAGGCTCCATTAAATCTTTTTTTTCTGCAGGTTACTTGGCTGCCTACTAATTTCCTGTTGCAACGGAGCCCTTCTTAACTGCAGGGCCCAAAGATCCTTCCAAGCTCCAGTTCTCTTTTTGTCCATAGAAGTCTAGCCACTGTTCCTCTCCACGTTCCTCTCTGGGAACTTGACCCACTTTGTACAAGGCTTTAAAGAACCTTTCACTGGGTTCTTCAAAGCAGTCAGCATCAGAACTGGCAGAGCTTTTCTTGGGTATTCCCTGGCACTCACTAAGCAGTGAGCTGGTAGGAGGTGAGCAAACAGACTCCTCACAGAAAACAGCAAACAGAAGGAGGAATGCAGCCCCTCCAAGAGGCTGACAGGACCATGCTGACAGCCCTGAATTCGCTCTTCCCTGCACCTTTCTTGCTGCTTCTAGCCCAATGCCACACCAGATCTGTTTTGTGCACCTCATGAAACTGCATATTTAAGCCCTTCCTTATATAGCTATAAACAGGCAATGTGAGGCAAAGAGATGATGGCACAGCTAAAGCATCTGCTACGGAGTGAGGACTTCCAACTGCTACATCAAGTTATTCCACACTGATCTTGGGTAAGGACCCCTTTCTGACTTGCAAAATCAGGATGTTTAGAGAATTAAATCATCAACAAAGCATCTTAATATCAGTAGAGAGAAGGCTCTGGGGAGGTGTGACTCAGTCACAATTTAAATGTATAATAATTTATATTTATATATATAATGATAGATTTATCACGAGGCTATTTATATATGTATTGTAACTCACAATCAAATTTATCATACTTCCATTATAATTTAATAAAAGCTTGATTTACATAATCCTCATAGGTGTAAGATTCTTGCTAGAAATGTTCTTGTTTCTGGGTGCAGCAGCAAGGATGTTGAAATCTGAGTGAATCTTAACACTGACCAAGATGTGAGAAGTAAATGACAGTTGTAGTGCCAAAGATGTGTTGTGACCAATTTCTTAATAATGTTCACTCTTGTTCTTATGGGTCATTAAGAGGCTTCACAAAATCTGGGAACTTGCTTCTTCCCAGGACTGCTCTGGCTTGCTCTGTAAATTCAGATCTGCATTGCACACATCTGTAAAAGAATGCAGGCACAGAGCACAAGATCTAAATGAGATTTAGATGCAAGTTAAAACTTTCAACCTGCAATAACCTCATTCTGCCGTCACATCACACTAAGGCATCAAAGGATGCCAGCGCTTAGGTTTTTGTGTAGAAGTTTCCTAGGTTTCTTCTCTCTACCCCGCTTGGAAGGGCTTTAATCTAGGAAGTGTTTGCATAGCATATGCAGCAGATCAGCTCCTACACAAACTCTGACAGCTTACGCAAAGCATAAATGAAGTAGGTGTCACTGCTATTTTACCTACAATCCTGTGGTGGAGGGTACAAAACCAGAATGGGGCAGCCTGGGCTGATCCCCACAGGATTCACATCTCCTCCCTCTGAACAAGGCACAGTTTGCACAAGGCCGAGCTGTAAATCTGTCTGGGATTTGGAAGGGATGGAGGAGTGCTCCATTCTCATTTCCTCTTGCTGGGCTTTCCCATTGTGTAAAGCATAATAATAAAACCTAATAACATGGATAAGGCTAGAAAGAGGAGAAGGCAATGGCATGCATAATGATTAGGGTCCTGATGTGAGGGTGGAATGCTGTAAGTCTTCACAAGCAGGAAAGGAACTTGAATTCTGACCTCCCAAAGCCCATGGGAACTGTTACCCATGTTACATGAACCACTGATACCCCTTCTGAAGAGTAGGAGGACTCCCTGGTCTATTTCTGAAGTACAGCACTGTGCCCCATCCTTCTTTCCTAGGGTTCACGGATGTAAGCCTCCTAATTGGTAACACTAAAGCAAAATATTGACAACATTTTCTTCTCTTTTAACATTTTTCTCCAGTTTACAGGGAGATCTCGCATGGCTTTTGCCGTGGAACAATTCTCCCAGTGTTTTACACACACCATGTCTGAATTTTATTTAGGACTGTGGGCACAGATAGGCAGCCATCCCCACAACAATTGGCCTCTGGATTGTGAATCCTGGGTGTCCTGCCCCTATTCCCCTCAGGAGCTAAAAGCAACAAAAAAGGACATCTGCTCCCAGCACCTTCAGTCCAGCTTTCCGAATTGGGTGGGAAAACAGACACTTCTCTCTTCTTTAGTCCAAATATAGAAAGAGCTAGCCTTGTGCTCCAGTTCAAGGGGTCTTTCAAGGCTGCAGAAAGCCTGGCAACAGAAGGTGTGAGGCAAATTGAAGAGCAGAGGCAGAAATACCCACTGGTTAACCATGTGGGAATAAAGGGAACCAGCCAGGCCTGTCTTTGAAAGATGGGGAGAGCTTTATCCTGTGCTTGCTCTGCCTACGTCTCGGACGATGACAGCATGCTCATGCAGGAACCCATGCAGTTCTCCCTGCTCAGCACAGTGAGTAAGACCTGTTTCACAATTAATGCTGAGCTGACGCAAGCAGAGTGATGTTACACAGAAACTTAGAACTGACATCCAAAATGCAGGACAGGAGTAGATAAAGAGCGTCCTTAGAAAGAACATATGAAACTTAGATGACAGTGAAGATGAGTTTCCCTTTGGAGAAACTAGTGTGGAATTAACCACAAACAGAACAGTGAATTGCATGCGTGTGTCAGTATTGAAATGAAGAAAGCTTGGCATTTTTTTGACAATTCAAAGCTGGTATCTATTGCAGCCATGTTTCTGCATCATCTAACACACCCAACCTCCATTCCCTTCTCAAACATTCAAGTGTCATGTTTGGCCTTTCCATTTCAGCTATATTGTGTCTACGCACAGCCTGTGTGTGGAGCAATTACATCAGTAATGTGTCTTCCCCAAGGAACTGGTTTTTTAACCTTTCGAGTTCAAACCCAGCCTTTCTAGTACTGACTGAGCCTTGCTTCCAGTCGGATGTCTGGGTGATGAGGTGTGCTAAATGCATTTGTAGCTGTTTGTTCAGTGCCTTGCAGAGACCTCATGGCTTACCTGGGAAGCTGAGTGGGGTTTGGGTAAGAAACATATGATTTTATGTATTTATTAAAACATGAAGGAACATAGCTGGTATTTGAACAATATTTTCTGTGTTCATAAATACCAGACAAATAACCTTTTGTATGAGCTGCTGAAGATGTGGGGTATCATTATCCCCTTCTACAAGGGGAGATAAGGGGGGGGGGGGAAGTTTGGCACTAGCAGGTTGGCAGTAGTGCCAGTGGGCTGTGTAGAGTTCAACCCCCATATGCACTTATAGCAGACCATTTACCCAGTTTCCTTCTTCACAAATCCACAGCACCCACAGCTCCTACTAACTCTGATACACAGATCCTTTGGTGTGGATTTAAGTGCTCAATTCAAGCTACTAGTTAGCTGAAAACGCTGGCTAAAGCAAGCAATTGACAGTGCTGAAATTAAAGCTCGGGGCTGTTTGCTGGTCACTCCTGTAAGTTACGCTTCAGCTAGAGGAGAATTATAAATCCTGTTTGTTTTAAGAAGAAACGAACGATTTAATCTCCAAACCTCATCCAAATACAGTTCTGCCCCAACACAGCAATGTGGCAAATGCACCATAAAGAATGTATTGTTAATTCTCAGACAGGAAAGCTGCTGACATAGACAGGCGCTTACCAGAACATCCCGGACAGCCCAGAGCGAGCTGTTACTGTCAGCCCCTTGCAGCATGTGAGACACCACAGCGCTGGAATCAGCCTGGAGGAAGCAACACACTGTTCTTATTTCCCACACGTATACAGCATGCCATTGCCAACACATGCAGGGAATCATAGGGTCAACTAAGTTGTAGAAGACCTTCAAGATCACCAAGTCCAACCGTTCCCCAACTGCCAAGGCCACCACTAACCCATGGCACTGAGGGCCTCGTCTACATGGTGTGTGAGCACTTCCACGGACGGTGACCCTGCCACTGCCCTGGGCAGCCTGTTCCAAAGCCTGAGCACCCTCTCTCAGTGAAGAATCACCTCATGCTCGGTGCATGAGCAGCATCACCGTGATTGTCAGCCAGCGCTTTGAAAAACCCCACTGGCTTCCACGTACGAAGGTTTCTCGGCCACGGAGCGCCACAAAATGGAGCTGCTCCGCCCGCCTGCCAGCCGTGGGGCTCCTGCCATCGCCTCTCCCCACACACCACCGGCCCCCAGGGCTGGCTGCCCCTGCCCCTCCCCGCCCATGGCGGGACCCCGCACCTCGGGCTGACACCGCCTCCCGGGCCGGTCCCCATTGGTGACGGGGCCGCCTCCCGCTCGCTCGCTCCCGCCCGCAGCACACGCACCTCACGCCTCACCTCACCCCGCCGCCCCCCGCCCAGCAGCACCCGCCGCACGGACCTCACGGGCCTCACGTCCCCTTGCCGCCGCCGCCGCGCGCCTCGTCCCGGCCTCCTCCCCGCCCGCCATTGGCCGGCGCCCCGCCCGAGCTCGCCGGCTATTGGTGGAGGAGCGGGGCTCACGGGCTCGGCACGCTTCCTCGGCGGCGGTATGGGGCGGGGCCTGGAGGAGCCACCAATGGGAGCGGCGAGAGGGCGGGGCGTGAGGCCGGACTTCGGCCGGGGGGGTAAACAAGCGCGGGCCCGGGTGGTGGGCGTGCGGCGGAGCGGAGCTGGGGTGTGCTGCGGTGGGTGAAGCCGAGCGGGGACAGGTGAGGCCGTGGCGGCTGCCGGTTCGGGCCGGTTCGGGCGTGTGAGCCGGGTATGGGGAGTGACCACGGCGGGAAGGGGCTGCGGGGTCCGGGGTACCCGGTAGCGCGGCGCAATGCGATGCGGTGCGATCCAGTGCAGTGCAATGGAGCGGTGCGGGAAGGGAGGCGGTATCGGTGTTGCCGCGGGAAGGACGGCCGTGCTCTCCGCGGAGCAGGGTTGCGGTCACCATTTGGCCTCTCGTCCTGGGGGTCGCTCCCCTGGGGCGCCGTTGCCCGTCGGAGGCAGGGACGTGTGAAGGGTCCGTGGGGCAATGGCGGCGGCGGCGTGCCAACGGCTGCCCCCAGCCCCGCGGGGCCGTACCCAGCCAGGCGGCGGCCGGTTGCGGCCTTGCCCGTGCCCTTGCCGGGGCAGCGGCTGCAGGACGTCGCGCCGCACGGAGGTGTCGCCGCGGGCGGCGAGCAGCGGGGCCGCGCCGCTGAAGTTGGCCTTACGGGGCTGGGCGCCGGGCAGCGGCTCCTGGAGCTGTGCCCGCCGTGCGGGGCAGGTGGCTGGGCCCGGCTGCTCAGCGCGGAACGCTTCCGGGCCTTGTGCAGCGGCCGGGTCCCCCAGCCCTGGGACGTGGTGGGTCGCTGCTCGGCTCGCAGGTGCGCGGCGTGTTCTGCATGTCCGGCCCGAAGCTGCCTAGGGGAAAGGATGGAATGGGGTGCTCGACGCTGCAGCGAGGGCGTTTTGCGACGGGCATCACGGAGGAAGGTGCAGAGCCCTGCCCCGAGCTGGCTTTCCCGTGGGGAGCGTTCTGGCTGCTCCTGGGATTGTGCCGTGCGACTGGTTGAAGGTGGGCGCAAAATAAATCTGTTGGTTGCTTGCGGCTGAAATGGGGGAAGGAAGCCCTGTGAGCCCCTGGCTTTGGGAAGGCCCCTAGGGGAAATAATCTTACTTTTGAGAAGTGAACAGGCTCGTAGAGTCTTTGGAACAAATTGAATAGGAGTTAATGGGGAGACACCGAGTTTTAAGCAGTGAACAAACTGCCTGTAAGTATCTACGGATAGAAAAGTTTAGCTTGTATAATGCTGCGGTATAGTCACTGACCATCCTAATTTCTGCAGGGCTTCTTTACTAACACTATTTCTGATATCCCAACAGAAGTCCCACCCAGCAGGAGTGTGAGTGGGGAGCTTCTTTGTATTCCCTTTGTGCATTGGAAATGCAGTCTTGCAGTCAGCATTATGAAAAATGAGTTGGAAGGCTGCTTTTAATGAATGTGAAGTAGGCTTTTCTTTTTACTTCATGTTTAGGCAAAGAAAAATGTAAGAGGAAATGAATTCTTTCAGTAACCCAGAGTATTGCTTTCCTAAAAAGATTGAACCTTCTGCTCTTTATTTCTCAAGTTGCTTGTCTTAGGTTGCTTTACTGAACCGGGGTGTATTCTTTGAGCATATACATAATAATTCTTAGCACTGGGTGCAGGAGGTGGACCGAGTCAATAGAAGCTCAATAAAAGACTTGTGAAGGGGCTCAGAAATTAATCTGAGTTAAAGGCTCAAAGTAGATCGGTATTTAAAGAGAATGTTGCTGGTCTTGCATTTCTCTGCCATGTAATATGAACTTGTCTCCCTTTCATATATCATCATCAGAAGCGTAGCTGCAATTCATGTGCTTACCAGTCTGCTTGCTCTTAGTCCAGGAGACTTGTTTCTGTATCTTGTAAATGCTTTTTCTTTGCTTTTAGTTAGCAGTGACCTTGGTAGCCTTGAGTAAGATATGCTTAGAATAAACAGTTGTATGTTATCCACGGGGATAAAAGATAGGTGTCTTGCTGCATGTTGACAGTGTCTCCCTTTTAAAAATAGTGTGATAAGTAGCAGAAGATGTGGAGAATTCCCTTATGTGTTTATTGTCTGAGTGCTGATCACCTTGTTTCCTTGCTGTCAAGGAGATTTCTGTGCTGTGGAATGCAGCTCTGGCTACTTCCTTTATGATAGTGCAGGTTAATAATAGTTCGTATTGCATCCATGCAGCAAGACTGGAACTTATTTTGGCTTCTGGTAGTCCTCTGACAGGCAAGTGGTGGCCTGTTGTTTTGCACTCTGTTGGGCTGTATTTATTTTTCTAGAAACCAAGATGGAGAGGGGGCAGCAGCTGAATTCCTGCCTTTTGATTTCCTTCCTGTTAAACTGCTTCATTGGTTGCAGAGTTTGGGCTTTTTTCTTGTAGGTAAAGGTTAGTTTGTGCTTCCTGTGTGTGGTTTTCCTTATTGTCTTAACAAAGATGCTAGGGATGGCATGCATCTTGTGGTTTTTATCTTGCGTGTCACTGTGCATGGTATAACTTGCTTGCTCCAGCTTGCTTGCTAAACGCACCTCAGGACTTGGCTAGATGCATGAATAAGCAGTTCTCTTACTTCTTCAGTGTCTCAGTACTGATGGATGGATCGTCCAGCTTAGGAAGGAGGTAGTGAGTCTGAAGCAGCGTTTTTAGGTGTCCTATCTCCAGTGCATATGTAGTTTTCTGTCTAAAACTGTTTAAGGAAGGAGCCTGGAAGAGGAGGCTTTTGGCTTATTGAGCTGTGTGTTCTGGGGCAGAGCATCTCTAGAAGAATAGCTTGTCTCAACTTGTTCTTTAGAAGTGCTTAAAGCACTGCCTGTGCTCTGAGTGAGTGCTTTCCTTCAGTACCCGGAGAAGAAAGTCGTGCGCATATGGAACCAAAATGCAAGCTGACAGTGAGGCGCAGTAGTTTGAGGGAGGAGGGTCAATCAGCCACTGCTTTCTCATCCAGCAGAGAAAGCTCATTTCATTGACGCAAGCATATCTTTACATTCAAAGAAGCTCTCGGTTTTTTAGATGCCCCTTGTTTGTGTCCATCGCTGTTCCTCTCCGTCCCTCAGCAGACAGAAAAATGAAACTTGCCTAAGCTGGTGACAAAGAAATAATGGGATACCCAAATTTTGCCCTTTCATTGCACAGTTGTGTTTCTGCACATCTTTGTAACAGCTTTTGTGTTTTGTCAGTAAACAGAAGTGTAGTGCTAAATGAAGTGTGTTAAATTCCCAATTAGTCGGTTTCTGGTGTACTATGGGCTTCTCACAGCATAGGAAATACACTAGTTTCTCTGAAGAACATAGCTGTCAGCCTGTGGAGTGGGCATCTAGAAGCTACAAAATCCTGTGTCTGCTTAAACAAGTCTGTACCCATACGCAGAGTTAAAACAGGTGTGCCTTTTCCTGCCAACTGCATAAGGCTGTCTTTTTCTTAAAGATCCTGTACATACAGACACCATGAAAGATGATCTGCTTGTGGTCTAGGTGGTCCCAGACCTGTTTTGTGTTGTGCAGGCAATAGCTTCCACTTAGATAGTTGTCTTAGTGTGTTTGTTTTGCCTCTCTAGTTTGTCCTGGTTTTCTGTGTAGATTAGATCTTTATGCAGTCCCTTTCATTGCTAGTCACGTCTCCTTTTAACCAGTTGCACCCCGTGGCTCTCCTGGAAGTGCTGAATGAATGCACTATGAAAGGGCTTGATGTAATACTCTGAAATGTACAGCTCTTTTGCTGTCTGAATTGTGACATTTGGGAGAAGTACGTCTTGTCTTAGTTTGATATGGTCAAAATGCTCATCGAGGGAATAATCAGGACTAGGAAAGAGATGGAAGGGTAATGACTGGCCAGTAAGCTGCAAGTGGATCCAGTGTTCTTTTCGGAGAGCTCTTAAAAAATTGGTAAAGTCTAGAACTTTACATTGCATTAGAAAACTTTGTGGAGCAGAAATTGATGTGGTTTGGGATTTACAAAGGTACCTATATAAGTTGCTGAAAACTTTGTCTCTCCTAGTTTGGAAAAGTGATATGTTTATGCTATATAGAACATGATTTCATAAACATCTAGATTTCATAAAATATACAACATAAACAGTTGTAGATTACAGATTCTTTATCAGGGACGAGAGCTTGCAGATTAGGTTTAATAGTAAGTTATGAGAAATAATGGAGCTCATTACTCGGTGTGTGGTGTGTAGGAGCTGACACAACCTGTCTGAGGATTGTGGCAGAGCTGTAGCTTCTGATAGACCATGTTCTCCTTCAGCACTGAGATCAGTTTTTGTCTTCTTGAAGTAGTCTTTTTCTTTTTGCCTGTGGTCCTCTTCTTGCACCTTACTTTTCCTTTGCTTAGAGGGAAGTTTTGGTACAGCTAGAAATAAGAAAGCAGTGTCCTAGCTATCAGAGCTGTGTAAGGGGGCTATGAATAGACAAGGATATGTTGTAAGTTACTAAATTTGAACTTACCCCTGGCTTCGAGGGCAAGGTTGAAAACCATGAGATCTGTCCAGACACACATGCCTGCAGCATCAGTAGTGGGAAGCTGTGGTGTTAATCTGCTTGTGATGGTAACAGAAGGGTTATGGTCACTGTGTGAGCAGAGGCGAGATGCGCGTGGGGTACCTCTTACTGACTTTGTAAGGTAATGACTCAAGACGCAGTGAGCACGGTTCTGTCCTGTTGTACAAGGATAATAAGCCAAATAGCCTCCTACACCTGAGGAATGCAGAGCTACAGTACAGTTACAGGGTGTGTCTAGATTTCCAGGAGCTTATAATTAGGAAGGCTC